CCCTGCGCAACCTCAGCCGCCTGGAGCTGACCGACAGCGGGCTGGTGTTGCTGCCCGCCGGCATGTTCACCGCCCTGCCCGCCCTGCGGCATCTGGACCTCAGCAACAACTCCCTGGTGGGCCTGCGAAACGTGTCCTTCCAGGGTCTGGGCCAGCTGCAGAGCCTCAACCTCAGCAACAACTCCCTGGGAGTGCTGAGGAACGACACCCTGGCCCAGTTCCGCAGCCTGCCCGCTCTCCGGCGCATCGGCCTGGGCCTCAACACCTGGGTCTGCGACTGCGCCATTGAGGACCTGGTGGCCTGGCTGAAGGAGAGTGACCAGGTGGAGAGCAAAGAAACCCTGACCTGCACCTACCCTGACAAGATGCATGGCAAAGCCCTGCTGAAGATCAGCAGCTTGGACCTCAACTGCTCCGTGCCCGTAGACCTGCCTTCCCAGCTACAGACTTCGTATGTCTTCCTAGGGATAGTCTTGGCTCTCATCGGGGCCATTTTCCTCCTGGTTTTGTACTTGAACCGAAAAGGAATCAAAAAGTGGATGCACAACATCAGAGATGCCTGTAGGGATCACATGGAGGGCTACCACTACAGATATGAGATCAGTGCGGACCCCAGGTTAACAAACCTCAGCTCCAACTCGGATGTCTGACGAAGCACCGCAGACGCGGGGCAGCGCACAGTAGCTATGCATGAAAAGTAGACTTACGCTTTACCCTCGTGCTTGCTTCCCTCTCCCCGGAAAAATCTCGGACCTGCTTGTCACACGAGGGGGATATGCCCTCCCTGTGATGCCAAGTTCAGTTTTGTTTTGAGACGCTGGGCAGCTGCGCATGGCGTTGGGCTGTATGTACGAAACAAGCTGCTACTTCTTTTCCTCCTTATCTGTCTGCACTTGTGGGAAGTTTTTCTTCAAGGTCTCAAAAAAAGGATTCTCTCTGGTGCTACAGAGGTACCAGGGTTTATAAACTGATGCAGACACTGTTCAACACAAGCTGCCTCAACTTTTTTTGAAAAAAAAAAAAAAAAAAAGAAAAAAGTTAAATTCCTCTGTGCCAGTTTTGATCTTGTATATGTGAACTGTAATGATGACGATTCCATGTCATAAACTACCTTGAGATTAAAAAAAAACTCAAGAAACTTCTTTTAACAACTCCTCTGTTACAAAGAAGAAAATCGAATAGTGAGCATACACAAATACTTTATACTTTTACGTGTTAGGAAACTTACAATCTCAGTAAGTCACTATTTTGTAAAGTTATTTTTGATTGCAGTTTATGTGAAAAAGAGAGGGTTTTTTATACAAACTGCATCTGAACTCCATCTGAACTGTTAAATTCAATAAACAGTCTTACAAGAACTGTTGTGTTGAAGTTTGCTGTTCAATGAGAAATGTATGGACACCTGAGAATGTGGATAGTTTTATAGTCTCTCAAGTAATAGCCCTGCAGTAGTAATCTGAATAACGTTTTATACAAATGTGTAGCTTAGAGACATAAAAGTTTGACAATTTTGTGAAATATGCTAGGAGAATTACACCGATCAACAGCAAGAGCCATTTCACTTGGCACAAAACCCCCAGCCTGCGCTCTCAAGACAACTGCAAAGCGTCGAGACAGATGCTAGGGGTCCACCTAGCTGGGAAGGTACAAGCTGACAGAATTTACCTAAGGTCTTCTCTACAAAATTTAAAAAAAAAAATCATTCAAATTAAGTTGTGGAGTTTGGAGGCTAAAAAAATAATTTACCTGAGTGGAATTGTTTATTATAAAAACCCCCTATTTTATGTCCTGAACTAAATTAAATGCAGCTCAGTCATGTGGTCGGCAGGCTTCGGGCTTGTAAATCAATGCAGCACTTACTAAATTAAGTGCTTACTGTTTCATTATAAGCTCTCAGTGCTCGTGAAGTTCTGTAATGATCTACACTGAGTAACTTGATGGAACATTTACGTTTATCTTAAAGCTTATAACAGGTGCATTTAAGTATTGTACATTACTCATGCTTATTACTTGCTTGGGAATGCATTTTTGTGTAAATAGATAAGGCATGCAACGAAAAACTTCAAAAATGCATCATTTAATATGCAACTGAGATGACGTATGAAAAGGTTAGCAAGAACTTTCCAGTGGCCACCAGTAATTAATGCACTTTTTCTAATGCATTTATAGATCCTTAATGGAAAAAAAGACACCCATTGTAAAAGTGTGATGTGAATTGGTATCTTATCAGTCTATCTGTGGAGCTTTTTCTGTGGTCACTGTTACTTTAAGGTCCTGACCATCTCTAAAATTTTATGAGTTACCGGCTAATTCCCTTTGCTTTCAAAAGTGACAGTTTTCTCATAGATCTACGCCTTTGGTAAGAGCTCATAAATATAAAATAGTCCTTAAAGAAGAAATATAATCTATTTTGGGCATCAGTATTATTCAAGTGCATTTTTCTCTCCTTACAATTTCAGACAAAGCAAGTAGCACAAGTTGGTTTAGAGTAATTTTCTGTTGCATTAGATTTGCTTTATTTAATAGAAGTGATTTTTTTTAATGCAGTTTTGTACATGTGCCCTCAAAAGTGGAAAAAAAAAATTAAGTACAATTAATGTTTTGATAAATCAGTGTATTTTACAATTAATGTAAGTTAAGTGATAGCCTATTTTTCTTGCTGTAATTTAAATATATGAGCAATATCTGGTTAACGGCATCTGATTTAAGTTTGTGGATCCTTAAAAAGCAGACTGCTGGTCTGAGTGTTAGCTGCCCATATTTTAAGAATAGCGTAAAAAGCCCAGTGTGAGTAAGTATTACTGTGTAACTATGCAAACCGTTCATACTTGGTATACGTAAGGTAGTTCATGTCAGGAGCTAGAATTTACAGTAGCTATGCAGTGTGCTTTGTTGTACTGGTCATTTCAGAGATTGTCAACTTACACTCATTTGTACAGTGCCAAGAGGAGTAGAGCATCATCCTTGCTTCAGATGCTCCTGTAACATAATAGATAAAATATGTACAAACCGAGCCATTTCTTGGGCAATTTCTTGGGTTTTGTTAGCAGATACTTTAAAGTAACTACAGTAAAAGCAATTATCCGTGATGTGTTAATGTAACAGCAATGCATTTAGAGAGCTGTGTAAGAATAGGCAACGACTTTAATCGCAGTCTCTCACCAATGGATTGAGTATTTGTATAGTGAGCAAGTGTAACTGTTGTAATAACACCTGTTATTCTAAAGGTTAGTATTATTTCTGTTTCCTAGGACGTAATTGTAATAGAATTTTATTAGAGACCTGGTGACGGCTACTTTAAAATAATTTTTGCCATTTGCTTACACATGTATTTATTAGGATGTAACAGTTAGCATGTGTCAGTATTGTGTTGGGTAACGTTCTCCTACAGTGTTTGACCAACAGTGAATGCTTTGGTGTTTTGTACGATGCGTTATTTGATCTTAAATCCCCTTCCATAAACAGTGCTGCTTGAAATCGGTTTTCCTTTCATATTACAGAATAGTTACAGTAGTACTCAGAAGACATTTAAGAAGTAGCTCCCAAAGTGCTTCAGAACTTGGTTAAAAAGTATACATTTAAAATTTAATTAGTTTAAGGGTTCTTCTGAAGCATCTTTTATAATCCTGTTCTGCTTTGACACCTGAAATTTCAATTGATTACCATTTTCACAGCAGCTTAATTAGGAAGGCTGTTTTATTAATTCGTTCTTCAATAAAACACGTGCAGTACTAAATGCCTCTAAAATGTGTTTTCTCTGCATAAACCCCCAAAGCTGTGCATGACACGGTTGCCACTGATATTTCATAGAAAACATCGCAATTAGTGGGCAAATCTTTGGTGAAGGCTGAGCATCTAAGAAGCAAAAAGGATGGTTTGTCCAAGGGCCAGCTGCTTTCTTAAAACTAGTTTTAGTTGTAGTAAGTTTTTCTTAGAAGAATAGCATGAGGAATTGACGTAGTTTTGATGCATTTTCCTAAAGTACTTTGGGTAAGTGCTGCTGTAAGAAACAGAAATTTCCTCAGATCTTTCTTTATCCGAGGTAGCTTTATACTAGATCAGCAGACTTTTTTTTTTTTTTTCATTTCAGCAAGCCATAATATTGCCAATAATTTTGACATTCAAAAAGTGATCTGAAGTTTTGCACAACTGCTTTAAAACCTTCCATTCAGGGTAATTTCCCTTGTAAGCACCGGTGACAGTCCCCAGTGACATGCCAGCTAGCGAAGCAGTCTGTTCAGCCCCGTACTCGGTTGTTGACTGAGATGTCACTGAAGACAGGCATGGCAAAATATTCAGAATATGACTGTGCTAGGATCCCAACTCTCATTATTCTACCAGCATTTTCCCTGTGGTATGCTCTGCTCTTTATGCATCTGCATAATTTCTTCTTCGCCTCATTTTCTCAAGGAATCCATTAAAAGGAGCATCATGAATCTGCACAGGTAGAGAATTCAGGCTGACTGCACCTATATTTTGAGGTTTAGCATCTTCCTTTACTTTTCAGCCTTAATGTGAAAAAGAGCCTTTGTCAAAGTGGACAGAATGAAAATTTGATACACGCTTTTTCTTTCTCTTTAGCAGCTGAATGCTTGAGAAGAACCATTCATTCTCAGCATATGGTGAAGGAAACTAGCGTTTGGTAAGAAAAACATTTTGGTTTCAAGCTTCCAAATTAAATTTATATTCTACGAGAGAAGGTTGGAGGGAGAAGCTTATAAAGGAAACGGAGATATCCCTTTGGAATGGGTCGGCACTGGAAATCACAGCGCCAGCGGTAGGAACAGTTGCAGGTTGATTTGTCATGGCCATGTTTTATGGATGCCGCTCTTAATTTCTTCCTGTTGCTGTAAATAGAAACATTTTGCTAACAAGTGACGTCACATCCTGTAATATTTGCGATGCAGGTGTTTCCACCGTGGGGTTTTTGTGGGGTATAATAGAAGATTGAATTCAATTTGGCACCTGCTGACTTAATGAGTAGATCGGGCCTATGACTTAATACTCCTTTTTGTGCATGGGCTGCTTACTAGTTGCAAAGACCCTGGCTTGAAAGCAGGTGGTGAAAGCCCACTGAGGAAGAAAGCAAGCAGCGGTATGTTTGGGGAGTGTAACGTGTATTAGGTATTTCACACGAGCTTAGAAAAAGAGGCATAAGCCAAGTGGGAGCAGAGGATCTTTTGCTGATCCAGAAGCAAGTGTACTCTGCCAGCTTCCTGAGTCAATACAGCAGGAGCAGAAACGTGGTGCTTTGTACTAATACAATAAACCTCACAGCACTCCTCTCCCACCTTGGGGAAAAAAAACTGCAACAACCTCCAAGCTTTTAGAAGTAAGAATACAGGTTTGCAGTATGAGTATGTCCTTAAAAAGGGCTTTTGCTTTCTCAACGGTGTTACAATTTACGTGTTGACACATCCTTGGAAAACCTTGCTATGCCACAAGTCATCTGTCGCGTAGGCAAGGCTTGAAATCAGGCCTTGCATTCCCAGTGTTAGCCTAAATAGAAAAACTAAAATAGTACTTTAGAGAGTGTATTCATGTTGTAATTAATAATTTAATACTTGTAATTATTTATATTTTTCGAAGTATTCAGTAGATAGCTTTTCCTTTCTGATGATAGACTAACAAAATAACAGATTTGTGTTTT